CCCCAGTGTGTGGCTGAGGGGGTGGGGGCCTCTCCCTCCCCAGTGTGTGGCTGTGGGGGCGGGGGCCTCTCCCTCCCCAGTGTGTGGCTGTGGGGGCGAGGGGCCACTTCCACCCCAGTGTATGTCTGGGGGGGTGTGGGCCTCTCCCTCCCCACTCCCCAGTGTGTGGCTGAGGGGGTGAGGTGGGGGCCTCATTCATTAAGTGACCTATCCCTGCAGTGGTGAAATGAAGCTTTCCTCCCCAGCGGTTGCATTAGCCCCTTCCTCTCCTGGGCTGGGGTTGCTGGTCTCAAGATGGTGCCACCACCAACAGTCACCAGCCTTGCCTGGTCGCCGGGGGCTGAGGGGCAGGGCTGATGTGAGGGGGAGAGAGGAGGGCAATTGTACTGGGACCCTGAGCTCAGGGGGCCCCCAAAACACTTGTGATGTCTGTGCAAATAAAATGAAATGGGGAGAGGATGAGGCCCCAGCGAAGGATGTACCAGAGCCTCATATTTCTCTCAACAGACCTGCTGGGTGGAATCGCTACCCAGCACCCGCTGCTGGGGAGGGAGGAGTCGGGGGAGGCTGCTGATCATAAAACGCTGAGATATATCGCGTTAAGGCCCTAAATTTCTGGGGGAGACCATTGGACAAACTGGTCACTACGCACAGGCCTGGGAGTGTAGAATATATGTCTCTGGTCATTTGGCCCCTGGCAGGGCTGGGCCTTGAGTGGGAGGTTGCTTGGCCTCTGATGGGGCTGGGCCCCAGGGTAGGCCTTGAGGGAAAATTGAGTCCCAGGTGGGGTTTTGTGCAGAGGATGTTGGGGAGAAGGCCTTGACTCTAATCCCTCTCCCTTGTTTTCTGTCTTTGCTTTTCCCCAAGGCTGTAAGATCAAAGCTCTGAGGGCAAAGACCAACACCTACATCAAGACCCCGGTGCGTGGCGAGGAGCCAGTCTTCATGGTGACAGGGCGGCGGGAAGACGTAGCCATGGCTAGGCGGGAGATCATCTCGGCAGCTGAGCACTTCTCCATGATCCGGGCCTCCCGCAACAAGGCCGGCACCACCTTTGGCAGCGCCCCTACCCTGCCCGGCCAAGTCACCATCCGGGTCCGTGTACCCTATCGTGTGGTGGGCTTGGTAGTGGGTCCCAAAGGGGCCACCATCAAGCGGATCCAGCAGCAAACCAATACCTACATCATCACACCCAGCCGGGACCGGGACCCCGTCTTTGAGATCACAGGAGCACCCGGCAACGTGGAGCGGGCCCGGGAGGAGATTGAGACCCACATCGCAGTGAGGACGGGCAAGATCCTGGAATACAACAATGAGAATGACTTCCTGTCCAGCAGCCCTGACTCGGGCATGGAGAACCGATACTCAGAGGCGTGGCGGGTCCACACGCCTGCCCCAGGCTGCAAGCCCCTCTCCACCTTCCGACAGAACAGCCTTGGGTGCATCGGTGACTGCTCTGTGGACCCGGTCTACGAGACACCCCGACTGAACGACCAAAATGACTTCAATTATGGTTACCTCTTTCCTAACTATGGTGTGAACAAACAAGATCTCTATTATGGGGTGCCAGAATCTGGTGCCCCCATGTGGGCCGGGCAGGAAAACACCAACCCCGTCTCAGTGCTCTTCTCTAAGCAGCAACGATCCGGCAGCACCGGCGCCGTCCATCCTAACTCGCATCGCTCCCCATCCTCTTCTATCCAAGAGCCTAACCTCTCTGGGCTCCCCAGAAGGTCTCCAGGGGAACCACTGCAAGGATTTTCCAAGCTGGGAGCCAACACCACCGCCCGGACATCCATCTCCAGCAGCCGGGAGTGCATGGTGTGTTTTGAAAGTGAAGTGACGGCCGCCCTGGTGCCATGCGGCCATAACCTCTTCTGCATGGAGTGCGCTGTGCGGATCTGCGAGAGGACCGACCCGGAGTGCCCGGTTTGCCATGCTGCAGCCACTCAGGCTATTAGAATATTTTCTTAAAGAGACAGGACGGGGTGGTGGGGGGAAGTGGGGACCGAAATGGGGAGGGGGTGGGAGTCCAATAAAAAGATAATGATGATGATAATAATTAATGACATCTGAAGAATAAACAAATGAATGAAAGAATAAAATAATTAATTTAAAGAAGAAGAAAAAAGAAATTATTTTACGAGCAATGTACATTATTTTTTAAAAAAAGAAGTGAATAATAATAAATTAAAATGAATAGAAAAGCCAGAAATTTTGAAGGGCAAACGATGCTCCAGCCTACGATGTCTTTTTAAAACAAGTACTCTGAACGCACACTTGGATCTCGGAAGCAAAGCGGTTTAGTTAATTTTTTTTTTTTTGTGGCGAGACAGGACTCACAGCTCTTCTGCATTGACCAAGCTTGGTCATCTTTATTTGACCGAGACACCAGGGGCACGTGGAAAATGAGGGGCTTCCCCAACAGCTCTTCCTTCCCCACCAACACTCCCTCTTTTAACTTGGTCTGCAGCTGCCCCCCGCCCCCTCCCGGGGACATCAAACCAACTGGCAGAGGAGAGCTCGGAAAGAAACAAACAGAAAGAAAAGAAAACAGATGGCAAAGGGGGGAAAAAGAAAGAAAAAAAACATCAACCTCTGGGAACCTGTTAGAACGAGGGCACAACTCTATTACCTCAAAGATTTTAAAAAATACAAACAAAAAAAAAAAACCACAAAACAGCAGCTAAAGAACTTTTATTGTTTTCCTTTTTTTCTAAAAAAAAGAACATTGAAAAAACAAATAAAAATGACGCCGGTGAAACTGAAGAAGGTTTGGAAGAACCTGTAGGAGTCACACTGGGTGCTTAGCATTTATTTTATTATTCTGAGCCACCGCGGAGTTTGGAACTCTGTTTGTTTTTTTTGTTTTTTTAAAATCCAAACTGGGATTTGTTCATCAGTTGAATCAGGAGTCACTAACAGGGTATTTCAAAACCAGTCTTGAGTTCCCATCCAAGGGCAAGGATTGACTTCCATGTTTCCATAGTTCACTCTTCTTTGCTTTTTCCAAGTGATGCCAGCTGCAGCTCTACACACAGCTCTACACACACACACACACACACACAGCATTGTTTTTTTCTAAAGTACACACACACACACGCTAACATTCTTTTCTTTTACTTAAAAAAAGTATACCGCACCAAAACCTAAGAAAGACGATCATGCAATACAGGCGATGAGCCCATTTGAAACCAACATGCATCCCGACAGAAAGCAAAAAAAAATGAGTTTATATATATAATTTTGTCGTCGTCGTTGTTTTTAAACTGGACCAAAACTTTTGTTACCCAAAACCAAGTGGAAAATTTAAAAAAAAAAAAGGAAGAAGAAAATATTTCTTTATGGACCAAAACCTCTTCAACTGTCCTTAACCTGGATCTTCCGGAGGTTGCCACTTTTATATATTATATTTTTTTCAGAACAAAACAAAAAATAAATAAATGAATTGCCTTGTTGAACATCCTTTTAATCGTTTGAAGACTCCTGGTTTTGTTAAATCAGATACTTTTTAAACTGTTGGGAAGTGGGAGAGACGGGCTTCGAATCTGGCCTCGACGCCAATCACAATCCAGCATCTTAACGTGATCAGGTTTGTTCAACCAGTACCTGGATGCCAAATTGCCATGGTGGCAAAGTTACATGTGTTGGATTAACCTACCAAGTACCAATATATATATATATATTTACCCCCACCCCATTCTCTTCCTACCCCCAAATTACTTCTACTCACGAATCCTGGACCCTGATTTAGAACTGTGGACCAACGAGCTTAGCAACTTGGGAGAGACAGTTCTGCAGCCAAAAAGTAAATAAATAAAAATAGCCAGAGATGTTCTTTGATTTACAGGAGACTTTAATTTCATCGTAATGTGCTTCCTGGGACTATCCCCTCTTCCTCTTGGTTCCTTGCCACTCGACCCCAACTGAGCCCCTTTACAATTGGTTCAAGACATCCTTCGGTCACATACAGGGGGTGGATTGCTGATACTGAGGCAGGCCTCTGTTTGGACTCTAGGCTCGGAAAAGGTCCATGTATGATCTTCAGATGTGAGGTGGAGGGGCGTGAAATTTTGTACTTATAACACTTTGCATTGATGGTGGATTGTTATACAGGGCAGGGGATAGACGGCGGTAGGAGGTTGTGCTCCTAGCTTCTGCAGCGGATGCTGATAGAAAATGTTGTACAAAAGGGGACACTGTCATGTCAAAGTTATGACCCCTCTTCTTCCCCTCACAGCTTTAACAAACCTTAAGTAGCCTAATTCTCCATTGCCCTGCACCTTCTGCAGCCATTTATACCACTGCAAAGAAGGGGGCAAACTGCTACCAAATCATTTCCATAGCATTTTAGACCCACTTGCTCGTGTCGTCGTTTACTCCAGTGCTGCAGGGCAATGGCGAATTGGGCTAGTTGCCTTCCATAGGAGCAAGAGGCTAGTACCACTCAAATCTTGAGGGCTTATATGGTGGTGCATGGGATTCGGGCTGTCTCCAATGTGCAGCAGTGAGATCCCCTCCCAGCCACTTCAATGGAAACACGGCCTCAGTGAAAACTTGAGGATCTGTCCTGTTCTGACCACGTCCTTTTCAGAAAGGGTCCAGTTATTATTTGAAATCTAGATTTGTTTCGATCCCAATAGAAGAGAAGGAAAGGTAAAAAATAAGTTTTTCTTTTTGGGGAGTAACCTCCACAATTCTGTTCCTCTTTGCGCAGACCTTTCCTACTGATGTCAGGAGAGTGGTTGGGGGGAAAAGCGAGTTGGAAATCAGACCACCCTTCCAAAGGGGCGTTCAGAAATATCTGTGTTGGTAACGGATGGGATTACAACGCAACAGCCGGTGCTTCCCTGGCTGCGTCCCATGGGGCCAATATCTTAGTTGAGTGACTAGTCATTATTGGCTAAGTGAAGTCTGTTCGTGGTAATGTGAGCGAGTTTTTGATCAATGTTTTTCTTTGATGCCAGGTTGTGAAGAGCTTTGGGTGGGGTGGGATGGGGTAGGGTGGGAAGATACCTGGACTGGGGACCTGGGTGGGATGGGGGCCATATTCTAGCACTGACCCTAGGGAATGGTGGGGAGGAAGGTATGAGAGCTTAGATTCTCTCCCTCCCCTTCATGAAGTAAAATGATATAAAAGCCTCCTGCATGCTGAAAATGTTAGAAAAACCTTTCTAAAGAAAACAAAAAAAAATATCTAACCCAAACAACTATCCAAGGTTGCCGATCGGAACCAGGAGGGGAAGCCATCCGTATGGCCAGTAGGCAGCCTGTCCATATCTCCATGGACTGGGCATTCCCACTCCAGCTTCCAAGTTGGCCTTTAATGAAATCTTTAGTTCCAATAACCTTTATATATATATATATATATATATACACACACATATACATATATATTAAAAGAAAGCTTGATGTAGCAGTTCTAGTTTATACAGAGTAGCAGTATTGCGACCTGTTTTATTTTGTTCTCCCTTCCTTGCCCCTCTTCTCCCTCCCCATATTTTGATGTAGCAACTTCAGAAGAAAACAGGCTGCAGGTGCACCAAGAGCTACCTCTGGTCTGAGAGGGGGCTATACGTTGGGGGGGAGGGAGGCACAGGGGGCCTAAATCCTCTTGAACGCCTGTAGGGGGCATCCAACTGATTGAATGCCCCAGGCCCCGTCTCTTAGTAGCTCGCCAGGACCCCAACGTGCGGCGGAGCATAAATTTGAATAACTCCTTATTTTCTTTTTAAATATATGTATATATATTAAAAAAAATCTTTAAAAAAAAAACCCACAAAAAAATAAAAAAAATCAACCACACAAAAAATGCCCATGACCTTAACTATTTGCTCTGACTTATACCTTCCTGGATAGGTGACTAGAAATGGCTTGTTGGTCCAATTCACCAGCAGTGAGGATAAAAGAAAGAAATGCCCCCTCTCCAGTCTAATCTGTCTGTACTGGGTTTTAGTTGCTAACTTACACTCCGTGTAAATCTGAGTGGGTGTATTTGCGGTGAGGGGTAAGATACTGGGTGACCCATCTTGCAATTGTTACACCCGTGCAAATGTCTTTAGTTTAGACAAATCCTTAGTGTCTCCACCTCGCAGTCATGGGAGAAGGGACGTATTTTAAGACTCCATGAGGCACTATTTGGGGTGCTAAATTTATGGGGATCTCCCTTCCCCCTTCCCTCCCCTAAAACATCCCTAGTGGAAAGAGGGCAATGTTGGACTGAAATGGAACCCAGCAAATGGGACCAGTATCGGGTCTCATTTGAGTTGTTCCACCCTCTCCCCACCTCAGGGTTTAAGAACAAAAGGAATGCTCAGTGGGAACTGGATCAGTCCCCAGTCCTGCAAACACTTGCACTTCGCTGTCATGAGTCATCCTGTTGTAATCAATTAGGCTACTAGTAATAGTAAAGTTACACATGTGCCTAAGTATTTGCAGGATCGGGGCCTTAGAGGGTAGGTCTCTACTAATGCTGCTGCAGCTCTACTTCTTGGCGCTGCTGGACAGGCTAGAGGTGGGTTGTAACGTCAGCATCGGGCGATACTAGATTCCAATGGGCTCCTGGGAGAAATGGAGCAGGTGGGGGCTTGACCCTATAGAACAGCAGTGACCATATAGAACACCTAGGGAGTCGCATGAGGGGCTTGATCCTGTCAAGGTGCTCAGCGGTGCAGGCACGTGTTTAAGTGCTTTGCGGGGCAAGGGGCAGATTGCACAGCAGAGGGCAGGACAGAGCCCTCGTTGTGTGTTAGCGGCCAGGCCTGCGGGGTGATGGAGTCAATAGGAGGTGAGATGGCTCCGATACCATGCTGATGGACGCGCTCCCAAAGAACTAGATCGATTAGATGCATAGGTGGATGGGGAGAAAGGGACATCTCTGGTACATGGGACCTGACTTATGCAAATAGTCCTTAACTCATACGAGTAGTGACATTAACGTCAATTGGGACTTGAGAGTGCTGAGCCCTTTCTCCTGAAGCGCTCAGGACCTGGCAGGATTGGCCCTTAGGAGTCTGAGTGGATAGAGAAAACAGGGACATATCTGGTACCCAATTCAGCAGAGCCTTGGGACTTAAGCACATGCTTTGTTGAACAGGAATGGATTTAAGCCTGTGCTTAAAGATAAGCACACGCTTAAGTGCTTTGCCTAATCCTGCAATCTTTACTCACCAAGCCACCTTCAACAACTAGTCCTGATGGGCGAGTAAAGATTTTCAGGACCGGAGGGGAGATCCCTTGGTGTTGTATATGGTACTGCAAGGTTTTGGCACAAATCACCCCTTGATGGTGGACTGTGACACTAGAAGATGGGGGCTGTGACAGGATGTTCAGAGGAGGGGTTAATTCATTAATAACATCTGCTTTGCCTGTGAAAGGAGACACAAATATGCTATGTCTTTGGCCATTATTTTAGAGGTATCGGGGAGGGGTTGTGGGGGTGGGGGGGATGACTTGGGGAGGAGGGATGATAAATGTAACAAAGGGGCAGGGAGGGATATAAAATATACTGTGATATCCTCATCATCATAAATTATATAGAGAATAGTATGTATTATAATACATAAAATTAAAAAAAGAACCAAAATTGGATTTATATTTAATGAGGAGATACTATAAGAATATCTTGTCCTAGCTCCCATTCGCAAACATATTTTTCAGCTGGAGGGATATCTATTCTTTTTTCTCTTTTCTTTCTTTTTTTTTAAATCTCCATACATGCAAAGGCTAAGACTGTTAACATTCAGAACCTCTTAAATCGCAAATATTCAACTTGCTTATTTGGTGTTTGACTTTTTATTTCGGTTCGTTTACAGGCGTTTTTTAAAAATAAAAAGAGAGAGAGAAAGAGGAGGAAAAATAAGATTTAAAAATTAGAACATTTCTTTATAATTTAATATTCTATTTTAATAAATGCATTTATTACATGTAAATGTAGCAAGGAACTGGGCTAATAAAAATACTTTTTATTAGGTAATTTATTATAAGAAAAAAAAAGGATATTTTATTTTATGATAAAGTGATCCTTAAAAAGTTTAGAAGGGTTAGAATATATGTAGGTTAAAAAAATACATTTGTATCCAGAGTATTGCTTAAAAAGTGTTTTTAATATATGTTTCTTTTTTGTGTGTGCGTGTGTGTATGTAAAAGGTGATAGTTACCGTGCAAATGGCCCTTCCCTGAAATAAAAAAGTTACACAAAGTTGTATGTATTTTAAAAAACTTAAAAATCAGAGAAGAGAAAAACCACTATGAATTCAAAATCTTGCTGCCATTTAAAACCCCAATCCTCCGAACAGCTCCTCATATGTGTCTCTTCACGTATAGGGGTAATCCTACTGCCTGGGGGAGTAAAGTTATCAGCAGGCATGAATCTGCCAGATTGGGCCCTGAGTCATTGCAGGATCGGGCCACAAGCCTTCGCTAAATCAGTGGCATATTTCACTATGGCTCCAGTCCAGGAACCCATCCCTGTATGGGAAAGCACTTAAGCATATGCTTAATTGCCAGTAGAGTCAAGGGTTAATCATGTGCTTGAGCCTTTTCCTGTCTGGTGCAATCATGCTGTCATTTCAAGCCCTGATTCAGTGAAGCACTTAAACACGTTCTTAAGTCCCGTTGACTTGAGCAGGACTTAAAGTTAAGCATGCACTTAAGGGCCGGATCCAAAGCCCATTGCGTGAATTCCTGGCCTCACTGAAGTTCTGCCTTTGACTTCCGCAAGGCCCGTTTTTCACCCCTTTGGATCAAGCCCTTTGTGAGGAGCAGAAGCTTGACCCTGAGAACTGTAGGGAGCGGGATTATTGATTTACCCCAAGAGCCCAATCTTGCAAACATTATCAGGTGCCTGTTGTCATAAGTGGTTCCGCAGCGCCCAGTAGCTTTTACAGGACGGGGGCCTTAATGCAGCCTTCTTAGATTATAGTAAGTGATACGACCAAGCCAGAAGGATGGGGAAGAGGGTACGCAGAATAGAGCCCGGTCTCTATCTTTTTATATTTGGATTTCTGGCTACCCTGACCTTGCCCTCTTTTGACCCCCTACAAGCTAGAACATTAGCAGCACTTGGTGCAGAAACCTATAAAGATAATGCATCCTCTTTAAGAAAACCGTGGGCTTTTGGAGGGGAGGGTGGGCATGTTAATTCCCCTGCCCCCTTTTAGCCATTAAGGTCCCGATCCAGCAAGGCGTATGTTTAAATCCATCCCTGGTCAGGAAAGCACTTAAGTTTTAATCGTGTGCTCAAGTGTTTTGCATGATCTTGGCTCAAGGACCTGACTTGCAGAAGTGCTGAGCACTCTTGACCCCAGTACAAGTCAGCGGGAGCTGGGTTTTTTTCAAGGCATCAGAAAGGTGGTAGTGGGGTGTTTCTAATCTGTTGCCTTCTAAAGAAGCATTTTAAAATAAGACTTGTTTGTTTTTAACCAAAAAGAGAGGGGGGGGAAGTTTGAGTTGATGGGTATAAAAATGTTAAAATAATAATAAACATTGAAATTTATTTCATATAATCCTATAGAAAAGATTAAAAAATAAATAAACTTAACTAGTTCATATAGTAGATGCTATCCATATTGTTTTATCTATAGTAGAGGTGATGATCCCAGACAGAACAGAATGTAAATTAGACTTGTAAACAAGGTCAGTTGTTACTGTTTTAATTTCCCCACCGAGTCCATCCATTTTTGCTCAGTACTATTTTCTGAAACTTAAAAAAAAACAAAGCACCTAACAAAAATTCAAACCTCCGTCTGGTACCTTCTGTTAATCAAAGTCCTGAAGTTATTTTTATAGAGGGGGGGGGAATGGGATCTGATAATATGTATTTTTTTAAAAAAGATCAGTTTGGGGTTTTATGTTCCTTTTTTTAATATATAAAAATTGGCTATCCACTGAACACACAAAACTGGCAAGTGAGGCCCTTGTTTTTGCCTTATTCTGACCTCCAACCTTGGGCTAGCATGGGTGGAAGTGGAGATTTCAGAGAAAGAAGGGTTAAAATTAAATATCTCGTGGTCGTTATGTTTCTTGTACTATTACTTTGGGTTTTTTAAACTTCTCAGAAGCACTAATGGTTTTGGAAGGTCCCTGAAGCAGGCTGGTGGAGACAAGTTACATTATACATAGGCAGAGAGGCAAAGGAAAATAAAATCCCTTCTGTAAAGGCAAAGAAACGTGCTGTAAAAGGATGGTGCTTTTTAACCTCCTTCTTCTACCAAGTGTCTTGAGGTCAGAGGAGTGCATTCACCACCTCGTGGATCATGCAATGTTGGGTTTGGGGCCTGAGTTTCATTTGCACCTAAGGCCGGTGCCTTCAAGTGACTGGAGTAAACGAGAATCAGGCCCTCTGACACTGTTGTATGGCTTCTAGGTGGGCATGTGGGATTCATGTAGGGTTCTGTGTGATGCACCGGCCGAACGCACACGCTGTGCAACTCTCAGAGCAAAAACTGATGGCAAGTTTCTCTTGGAAATTCTAAGTCCAGCCTGCTAATATTCTGCACCCTGACTATCTGAGCCACACAGGGAGAGCATCAGGCCAGTAAGCCCAGAGATGAATGAGGTGCGCATCCAAAGTCTCGCGTGTCTGTCTCATAGCGTTACTGACCCTGTCCATTAGCGGGCGACACTAAACTGCAGAGGGATGGAGGGATGGCGCAAAAATGAACCTTGGCCCTTTGTCACGTGAAAGTCCCCTGCTTGCTAGACAATCTGCAGGTTCTGGCAGAGCCAGCGGCATTGTGAGGGGAATGTCATACCATCCACTTTTCCATCCCGAACAGCTTAGTGTGAGTGGAGAAGCCAGTGGAATGACTGCTCAACCCCACGGGCTTTAGCTCAACTGCAAGTGTTTGGGCTCCCTTCAGGAATCACCAGGTGAAACGTTCTGGCCTGTGCTATGCAGGAGGTCAGACGAGATGATCGTAATACCCTGGAAAACCGTGACCAGTTTCCATGGACAACTAGCATTAGCGGGTAGACCTAAGCGTTTGTACCATTCTGCCAGGGCTCAAGCGCTGGAGGGCACAGAGGTGTCATGTTTGGGGAGAAGAGTCTTTTGGACTTGCTGGGGTGGAGGGGGGAGCTGGTTGCTCAACTCTCTTGTGCACCCATCTACGCCAGTTTACATCAGAGCTGCCAGTTCAGGTCCTCTGTGGGAAGGTTAATATTTATGCTCCGGTTCCTAGATAGAAACGGAAAGACAGCAGTGTTATCTGTTGGTTAGAAAGAGGGACTGGGAGTCAGGAGTGCTGGGTTCTATTCCTGGCTTCGGGCTGGGAGTGAGGTCTATTGGGTAGAGAAGGGGGCACTGGCTGTCAGGATTCATGGGTTTGATATCCAACTCTAGAGGGGACAATGTGATTTAGAGGCTAAAGAAGGAGACGTATGTGTTCTTATGCTGGGCTTTGGAAGGGCAGTATGATCTAGGGGCTGATACAGGGAATCAGGATTTCTGGGTTCTGTTCCAACCTTTGGGGGAAACAGTGTTATCTCGGGGTTAGAACAGGGGATTGGACATCAGGACTCCTGGGCTCTCCCAGCTCTTGGAGTGAGTGTGGTCTAGTGGTTAGAGCACAAGTCCCACGCAAGGACTCTGGGATTCTATTCCCGACTCTACCTCTGAATTCAGTGCAAGACCTTGGGCAAGTCACATCCCCTGGCTCTGTGCCACAAGCTTCCTCTGCCTTTAAACTGGGGATAAAGCAATTTGAGATGCTCGAATGGAGGGGGCCGATGGAGCGCAGAGTACCACTATGGTGCAGGGATGGAAGTGAATGAACCACATACCTATTTTATTTTTATGGCTAATCTATGAATCCAGAGTGAAAGACGGAACTATTCCCAGTTCTGCGGCTGAGATACTATGATCTCAGGGACAGATCAGCCTCGCGCTCCACATGCCTGACTTCCCCCTATGTAAAAGGGGAGGCAGGACTCCTGGGTTCTTTTCCCGGCTTTGGTAAGGGGTGTGGCCAACACCTCCCTACCTGGCAGAACAGTGTTCAGGTTTAAGGGTCTGATCCAAAAAAGCCATTGAAATCAATGTGAGCTTTTACACTCAGTTCATGGAGCTATGGATCAAGGACTCGAGCTTTGAGATCTGCCGATGGAATCTTATCCGGTGTCCTGGGCATTCACTCAAGGCAGGTTTTACTGTAGGAAACAGCCCAGAGGGTGCATTGGACAGCTGTAGATGGGACAAAGGTTGCCCAGCAACCTTGAGTATTGTCATGCTACACCCTGTGTCCCACAGCAGTGGCGATGGCACCAAAATCTCCCATTTATATGATATTATTATAAAATAAATAACATAGTTTTAAAATATATAGGTGTTACGAGAAGAAATTAACTACCGCAAAAGAGATGCCTCAGAGAAGTAGGTGTTGCCTTTGTTTTTAGTTTTTAATATTTTGTGCTGTGATTCATCCACAAAGAATCCAATAACATCCTACAGTTCACTAGCACCCGGCAAGATCCCAAAGCATTTCCACAGGCAGTGCAGTTGCTGCATCCCTCCCCCCAACTGCTGGAAATGCAGCTGCTTCTGGGGTGGGACGTAGCAGCTGTTTAACAGCGCACTGTAATGCCATTTGGCAGTTTAGGATGGAAGTGAAGACAATTGGTTCTTGTTACTGCACTGCAAATCAGGAGTAACTCCATTGGGCCTGGTTTCTCTCTCTGACACTGCTGTAATCAGGAGAGCAGAAACGGAGCCCGAACCACCATCGCCCAACTTGCAACAAAATTTAAACGGTGACAGCTTTTTGAAAGCAGAGGGTGACCGTTTCTGGTTTGTGTGCCGGCCCTTGGAGTTTGTGGTGGGTGGAGTGAAGAGGTCTAGTCCTTCCCAGCAGGGGGTCAAGAAGCAGGCTGTTTGCTCGTTTATTTTTATTTTACCTCATTTTTGTTTTTAATACTTGAACTGTCAGTGATTGAAGTTATGCAGTGATGCCCTGGACTGGAGATCAGATGCACTTTATATTAACTTTTACACTGGTCCCATCCTACCTCTGTTAAGTCCATGGCAAAATTCCCATTGGCTGCAGTGATAGGAGTGGACCAGGAAAGGTTAACTAGTCAAAAAGTCGTTTCTAGGATTTTAGGAGGGATTTGTATTTTTATTACTATTTTTCACATACTGTAGAAGCTGAAGGCCAGATTCTGCTTTCTCTGGTGGAATTCCAGTGTCACTCCATTGGAGTC